TTTTGAGTTAATTTTGTATACTGCTACTTTGCTGAAGGTGTTTATCAGATGTAGGAGTTCCCTGGTAGAATTTTTTGGGTCACTTATGTGTGGACAGAGGTGAGGTATATCCAGACTCCGGAAAAGCCTTCCGGTCTGAGCTGGTCCTCTCTTGTCCGGGGGTGGGAGTTGTTTCAGGCAGAAGTGAGCAGGGGTTGATGGAGGAGGTGGGAAACAGCAGCACCCAGATTCACCTGAGGCTAGGGCACTGGCCGCAGGACCCCTTTTAAAACTCTTAAACTCTAAAATCTTCTGTACTTGATTTTGCTTTGTTTCAGTTCTCCTGGCTATTAAACTATACCCAAGTAAATAAATATATAATCATTTGACTAACAATTATCTGCCTGATTTCTCTAATTATATACATTTTACCTTCAAGGTTTCCTTACTTCTCTTTAGCATCTGGCTAATATTCCTGTTTCATATTTACAATTATCTGCATTTATCTCTCCAGAGTTTAACTCACTACATTTTTCTACTTTAACATCTGACTGACATTTGAGTCTCACATTTACTTTGTGTACCTTTTTACTTTAAGGGTTAAATAACCAGCTTTACCTTTTATGTCAGCTGCTGGCTGACACTTTCGTCTTACATATACTTTTGTGCATATTTTTGCTTTATTGGTTAAATAAGCCAATTTACCATTTTTGTCAGCTGCTGGCTGACATCTTCCTATTTTATATTACAAATAAATGTTTCCTATTTCTACAATTATATACAGTTTTATTCCTGACTTAATGCTGTTCACTCACCACATTCGGCCACTTCTTTCTTCTTTTTTCTGCACTTGCTTCTTCTCCGACCCGTTCGCCTGCGAGGACTATCTCTTCAAAGTGTCCATGCCTCTGCCTTGTCCATTGCTTCTTTGGTGTCCCTTTCTTTGTGGTGTCCATGGCTCCTTCCCTGTTCTCACATTCAGGTGCCATTTTGCCGTGGCTGAGTATGTCTCAGACCCATACCATGAAGTTGGGCCTAAGTGGGGGACTGTGGAATTGGGAATTCCTAGTAACCCAATGGTGATAAAAACCAAACACAGGCATCTTGTCATCTTTTGAGAGCTCTCAGTTCCATGCTGCAAAACTGGAGTCTCTTCTTTATTCAGCATCTTCCTGGCTGTTTCTTAACTGTGCTTCTCTGGCCACAAGGCCATTTATCTGTCCTCTGGTAGACCCCTCTGATTGCTCCTAACTTTCTCTGACCTCACTTGTCCTGTACAAGTTTGGACCTCCAAAAATCCTCTAATAGAATTTTCCTGACTCTCGACACTTGTCCCAGACACTCTCTAGACATGTTATTGTAATTAATAGAAAGTAATTCATTGATCTAGTGGTTTATTCCTGATATGAGTTTTTTTTTCTGTTTGCTTCTTTTTATTACAAGTGAAACCTTGCGATTTTCCAGAAATAAAAAACGGAGGTCTATATGGTGCAGAGACACGCAGACCTTACTTCCCAGTACCTATAGGAAAGCAGTTCGATTATTACTGCAACAGGGGATTTGTGGCTCCTTCAGGGACGAACTGGGACTACATCCACTGCACTGCACAAGGATGGAAGCCTGAAATTCCATGCCGCAGTAAGTCAGTATCTACGTTAAAGCATGTTTAGTTTTATCAAAGAGTGAAAAGAGAAGAGCACATACATAATCACATTTGAGTCTCATAACAAAAATAAGACCAGCAGAAGAGTTTATAAGCAAAAAGGACTAGTTTCTGTACTATGTGAGTGGCTCTTCATGGAATGAACATGAAAAATAGGAACTATGAGAATGTCTTTATTGCTTGAATATTTTATTCATAAAACTAAAGATAAATGGTACTTTCAAAAACATTTGGTATTGGTTTTATTTTTGAATGCCCCATGCACTTAACTATTGTAAAGATAAATTTTAATTTGTTTTTTGAATAAGTGAATGCTTTTATGTTTTTAATTGATCATCTTATTGTCTTTAGGGCAATGTAGTTTCCCATATGTGGAGCATGGGAAACTTTTAGAATGGAAAGGAAGCTATCTACAGGACCAGTCTTTAAAAGTCAAGTGTCACTCTGGCTACAGTCTTCCAAATGGTCAGGACACAATTATGTGTACAGAGAATGGTTGGTCTCCTCAACCCACATGCATCCGTGTCAGTAAGTAACCAGCTCTGAGATCACAAGATGCTCTTTGGCTCCCTGTACCATCTATATTAATTGTGGCAAAATGCTTCTTTTCAAGCATATATAAGTGAATACTGAAGATTCTCTGTAAGTATATTGCAAAGTAAACACACCTAACAGACATTAGGCCACAAAACAACAAAACATTTAGTGACTTTCATTTAATTCATAGTAGCATATGCTTTGAAACTACTTTGTCATTTGACTCACAGCAATTATAAAAGTATAGCTGAAAATTAAACAAATATGATAATAGCTACTCACATCATTCATATATTCAAGTAGTAACATGACATTTTGAAGATCTGCTAATTGTCTCTGTATCCTTTGTTATATGTAACTGGAAAGGACATTTTCAGATATTGGGTATTGTCCAGTTTCCATGTTTTTTCTCCAATCTTTGTGCTAATATATGTTTGTATTGGTGGTCACTTCATGTCCTATGTTCTTGTAAATGACTTTGTGATGTCATACTTTATTTTCACAATAAATGTTATAAAATGGTAAACATAAGAGTGCTGAATGAATTCCTTTAATTATCATTTGGGTTTTAAAAATATAATTCTAAGTCAATTTTCAGTCATTAATTTTAATATTTCAAGCGTACTTTTTAATCCATAAATTCATAATTAATTTTCTGAACTATGAATTCTAAAAATCAGCCTGAGTTATATGTGCTCTTTTTTCATATAGATTCCCAATTTCTTTTAAATTAACCTTGCTTAGATTTGAATAATATTATCTGGCATTTTCAGAACAAAATTTAAATGTCTAATTGCTTAATCTATTGAGTCTTTATTTATGAATGCAATAGATACTTAAAAGTTTAATCTTGTCAGCTGCCTTCTATTGCACCATTTTGCTGATGAGAAGCTTTTGTTAGCATTATTTTTTTCCTACTGTCCATTATGTATTTAATCTCTGAGAAATTTTGTCTTCAATGAATTAAAATTTTATATGGCTATATTAATGACATGCTTAAAATTTGTACTGAGTTCTGATTTGATAGCCTTTCCACCATGCTGGTTTTGTTCATATTTTTAATTTTATAAATTCTTTCTAGGGTCTTTGTTAATTGTGCTCATCTGTATGAACACACAGTTTTTTTCATGTTTCTGTGTCTTTTCATTATTAAAAAAATCCTATCCGGGTAAATTGCCTTAGCTTTCTTTCTCCAATTTACTCACAAAGATCTTTAACAACTGACAGGTTTATGCCCACTTTCAAAAGACTCATGTGTGAAAAACATTTTCTATTCAGGAATAGTTCAAGTATGTTTAGAGTTCAGGTCAGGGACATTGACAAATAAGTGTGTTTATATGAGTAAAACCCCTTCAAGCTAGAACTAGTCTTAATCTACTGAGGAATTTCTCTTGTTCCTTTCTTTTCAACTCCACCACTGTAGGTAATAACTTTTCTTTTTGTTATTGGGGTGCTGTATTTCTACCACTTCATATCAATAAATTTCTGCATCATGTTTTCAAACTTAATTCTGTAACTTTTCAGTAGAATATCTGTGTCATTCTTCTATGCTGTGACTTGTATAGTAACTGACTTTTATTGTAGAGAGATAACTTTACATTGATATATAATAATTTAGCTGTCTATACCATTTTAAGGAACACTCTGACTATTTTAGATCATGGCAATATTTGAGCTATTTATGAGGATTGGAAGGTAAGTGATTGGATTAAAATGTATAATGTAATAAATAAATATCTGAAAGTGAAATTTATGAATACTTTGGCATGGGCTTGATTCAGTCTGTAAGAATCTGGCATGCAGATTTTCAGGATGTTTGAGACATTTGCATCCTAACAGCAATGATCAAGGTTCAGTCGACTTGTTTCCCTCTAAACATCAGCAGAGTGAGATTTTATATTCTAAACACATCAGCAGAAGAGTGTATTATTATACTTTAATTTTATCTTCCTAGTGAGCTAATAATAGCAATCACCTAAGAATATCCCATTTTAATTGCATGTTTTCTCTTATAATTTATTTTACAACCCATTGCATATTTAGAATATGATTCCTTTATCAAAGTTGTGAACATTTTCTTGTATGACATTACTCATCTTACAAAT